TGCCTGAGCCTGCTCCTGTCCAGTCTCTGTTCCAGACTTGGCCCTGCCTGGAGGGACAATGTTTTTATTTTTATATTTTTTAAAAAATATTAACTCTTGCCAGTTCAAGTCCAGACGTTAGCATCAGTTTATATAGATGCAGTAGCCTTAGCTCAGAAACTATTCCGTTCTCTTGAATGCAACACACTCTTTACTGTTCTGTCTACACATCTTGTTTCACATTGGAACAACTGAGTTGTGCTTCAGTCTGTGCGTAGGCAGGACTTGCATGCCCATTATACCTTTAGGTAGTCCTCTCTTTTTTTCTTGTTTACTCCTCTATCCAAACTTGAACTACTATAGAATGTTCCCTTAGCACAGCTGTTCAGCAAGCTACAATCAGTTCCCACTCCCCAGCCCTTCATGCAAAAATCAGAGTCCTGGGGATAAAGGAGAAATTCTCCCTCATCACATGCTTAAGTTGAAGTGATATATTTTTTATCCTTCGCTGGATTTAAAAGCCTGATATCTCAAAAAGCTGCAGCAATTGCCTGCTTTGCTTCAGCACAGACAAGATGCTTTTGAAATGTGCACCAGACTGCTACGTAGTTCTTATCCTCAATACGGCTACTTGGAAATACGAACCATTTGATTTCCCTGGACATTGGGTGTTTGCAGAGAGTGCTAGGTTTTGTGTGTCGGTGCTGGGATTGCACAGCAGCTACAAGCTTCTGCAACAGACTTAGTCTGGTCGGCACCACAACACATTTGTTCCATTCACCTCTGCTGGCGTTTCTACTGCTGGCACATAAGAAAAACTTCAGCCAAAGGTAATTATCTTTTGGTGCGCTGTTCATTTCAGGTGCTGGGAAACCAATGAATCACATAGAATGAAAAACATACTTTTCCATATATTTTATTTTCCTCCAATACTTCTAAACTGCACTTTCATATAAAATGTCACAAGGTGGTACACAGTTTAAAACATAAAATTACAATAAAAACATCAAACACATCAGTAACAGCTGGTTGGCAGAGAATCTCAAGTTTGAAAGGCCTGCCAGAATAACACAGTTTTAATACTCCGTGGGAATAATACTCCATCAGAAGACCTCAGATACTTAAAATTGCATAGCTGCAGATTTTTGTCCAGAAATGTTTTATTAGTACGAGCCTGATTCAGTCATGGTGTTCACTTTTCCTATACATGGAGTGCACATACTTTACATTGTGCAGATTCTTCATAAGTTGCGTGGCCCAGGATTCAGACCTGCTGGTATTTGTGGATGAGTCTGCTAACATGGATGTCAGAAATGACTGGCTGCAGGAAACATTCATGGAAAGAACCTCCAGTATCATTGCTTCACCTGAGGCTCCCTGGGAGGAAAGACCCATTAGCTAGAGCTGCAGAGCTAGAGGAGTTAACTCTCCTCTTGACTCAGAGAACCTCTCCTCAGACATCTGTATAGTGTTTGAGGCAACCTCTGCACTAACCATCCAATTCCAGCTGGAACGACCTAGCTGCTCTGGAGAAAGAGAACGTGAGAAATAGAACAGGCCTCCTTTAAGTCCCCAGACTTTTTTCTTAGGGTGCCGAGCTTGATACACTAACCTGATTGCAGGCCTACAGTACACTCACTTTTCTTATGTGACTGCAACCTTACAAAGGCAATTGAAAAAATCAATAAATAAATCAGAAAAACACAGGGAGAATCAAAATATGTGGTGGGAAGAGAGTGGTAGGGAGAGTGAGAAACAGCAGTTAGCAATCCCAGCAGCCATTGCACTCACCCTGAGAGTGTTCAGGCGTTGTCAGAGAGTCAGAGAGATGGAGATTTGGAGAGAGAAATCGGGCCTAGCAAGAGCACAGAGAGCAAGTGGAGGTGGTCTGAGAACTAGGGGGAGCAGCTTGCAGGTTAAGGGGCCTTCCTGGCTTTATGCATTTTGCTTTTGCAGTTCCTGGGAACCGAACCCTTGCTTAAGTTGTGGACTTACTATACAGTACTTAAATGCACAGGCTGTTGCTGGAGCAATTTTCCATACTCACTGCTCTGGATTGCCTTGTATTCTGACCTGATTCTGTTAGATGAGCTCTGCAGTGAGCTGACCATGGTGCTGATCTCTAGCAAACTAATCTGCTCTCCTAGACGGCACCTCCTTGGGGACTATGCCTGGGACAGTATTTGTATGTACAGTGGTACCTCGGGTTAAGAACTTAATTCGTTCTGGAGGTCTGTTCTTAACCTGAAACTGTTCTTAACCTGAAGCACCACTTTAACTAATGGGGCCTCCTGCAGCCGTTGCGCCACTGCTGCGCGATTTCTGTTCTCATCCTGAAGCAAAGTTCTTAACCCGAGGTAATATTTCTGGGTTAGCAGAGTCTGTAACCTGAAGTGTATGTAACCTGAAGTGTATGTAACCAGAGGTACCACTGTACTACTCAGCAGGGCTTCGCCATGGGATATATAATAATAATGTGCACAAAACAGAATTAATACGGCATTCAACTGCACTTCAGTATGCATGAAATAATAAAGGGTGAAACATGAGGGGAATTGTGGAGAACAACATAGCTGAAACCAGTTGACAGGTAGAATGGAATGTTACCCAGTTGTAGCTAGAACAGCAGGAGGTTTGTCTAGATACCAACTTATTATTTGCCTTGTATTCTTTCTCATTTTAATCTGTGTGTGCATATCAATTTAAGGCCACTTTCAAGGCTTTTCCTTTTTGAGAGACAGTGCGATGTAGTGATTAGAGTGTTGGACCATGGAAGATCCTGGTTCAAATCCCCACTCAGCCATGAAGTTCAGTGGGTGATCTTCTTGGGCCAGCCACTGCCTCACAGGGTTGTTGTGGAGATTAACTAAGGAGGGGGAAGAACCATGTATGCCACCTAGAGTTCCTTGGAGAAAAAGTGGACTATATATGCAATAAATGAATAAGGCAATTGAGAAGGTTGTGGTGGAACAACTGCAAGCATTCCTGGATGAAATTGATTATCTGGATCCATTTCAGTCTGGTTTCAAGCCTGGGTTTGGGATCAGATAAGCTTTGGTTGCCCTGACAGATGTACCTTATAGAGAGGAGGACAGAAGAAGCACAATCCTGCCCCTTCTGTGACTTTTCGTACCATTGGCCATGGTATCCTTCTGGATGGTCTGGGATGTATGGTGGCTCTGCTACTTCTTTCAGGGCCGTGAGCAAAGGGTAGCACTGGGAGAGTTGCTCTTTGGCCTCTGGTGTTTAGGCTAATGAGTGCCACAAGGCACTATTCCACCCCCAGTGCTGTTTAGTATCCTTGTGAAGCCATTGGGAGTGTTCATTGGGAGTTTCAAAGTGAAGTGTTAACAATATGCTAATGATACCCAACTCTGTTTCTCCGTTACATCTGAGTCAGAATCCTGGACTGGTACATAAAGGCAGTGTGTTGGACTAGATGAGGATCCATAAACTGAGTTTGAAGCCTGGAAAGATGGAGACCTCCTTGTGCAGGGTGATTCTCATGTCCAGGAGAAAGGTCAATGGCCTGTTTGCGATGGGGTTGCTTCCTTCTGAGGTCCACAGCTTGGGGCAAACTCCTTGATCCATCTTTGTCACCAGAGGCCCAGATGAGCTCTGTGGCCAGTAGTGTCTTCTGATATACCAGCTGTGGCCATTCTTAGACTTCAATAGTTGGACCACAGTAGTCCATGTATTGTTAACCTCAAGACTTGGTTACTGTAACATGCTTCACGAGGGGCTCATCCAGAAGCTGCAGTGAGTGAAAATTGCAGTGAACAGACTGCTCACAGGCACAGATTACAGGCAACATGTTACTCCACTGCCGAAAGAGCTGCTCCAGTTCCCAGGTTCTTGTGTTAAGCAACCTGAGCCAAAAATACCTTAAGGATTGTCTGAATCCTTAACCACTGAGATCCTCTGATAAAGCACTTCTGGTGCTTCTGAAATTTGGTCAGTCTTTGCTAAGAACAGAACCTTTTGTGTGGCAGGTCCTACTCAGTGGAACTCCCTGCCACTAGAGGTTCAACATGTTTTTATCTTTGTAAACTGCGTAGAAGCCTATCTTGGCATTAAGCAGCTCATGGATTCATAAATAATAATTCACATGGGGAGGGGGGAGAGACAACCTGCCTCCCTCCCTCTGGGACCCCAAGCAGCTGTCCACCCCCTCCAGCCCTACAGTCCTGGGCTTCTTCTTCTTGGATCCTCCATCCCTATCCCTTTAATACCATATACTGCACAGCCCAGGAGCAGGGAAAGGGCTGACCTGCAGGCAGGTTTCCCTGTGCATGCCTGACCAAGCCACAGAGTGCTGGTCCACCTCTGTATTTTTATTGCAGTTTATAGTAACTTAAATTGATGGTTTCCTTGTAGATTTTTATTAAATTTGTGCTTTTTAAAAAGTTGTATACCACTTAGAGATTTATATATTAAGCAGCATAGAAATTGTTGGTGTTGGCATCCATCTGTCTCGAGAGACCTGGTTTTCAGTTAATCAGTAAGTTTATGATAAAGAGTGGCATGGGGAACCTCGAGTTCATGAGCAAAATTAGGTCCACCAGGCCTCAAAGTGTGACTTCAGGTGTGGGGCAGATAGAATAATAGAACTTGTAGAGTTGGAAGGGACCACAGGGGTCATTTAATCCAACCTCTAGAAATCCTTTGCCCCATGTGGGGCTCGAACCCACAGCCCTGAGTTTAAATCTTGTGCTCTACTGACTGAGCCAACTCTTGAGATATTAAGTGAGGCTTGGCCAAAAAGGGCTTTGTAGGTTAATGTTTCCTCTCCAATAAAAGGGTGTGGGCATGGGAAGAAATTGGCATAGCTCATTACACATGGTGTCACACGTTACTTCCCGGGGGGGAGACCATTCCATGGTGCTCAGAAACATTATCTTCCACACAACATGAGCAAGGGAAAGCAGGTAATCCCAATAATAAAATGTTGCTTCTTTGTGCTGGGAAAACACAATCTCTTCACCAAGTAAGTGCTTCAAGAAAGAAGTCTGAATGCCCTCTGACAATTGAGCATTTATTGTGATATAAACTGATCATCTGGAAAGGCCTCATGTGCCTTTAAGGAGCCCCCCCCCCCGCCGCTGCTATGTCTCTTTAAGTAATGTAGGGAAGGGGAAAGTTTTTAGAAAGGCCTTCCTTCTTCCTTTGCCCTCCTCGCTTACTGCTGCCTGGAGAAGAGGTTCCGGAAAGCGTTGTTGTAGTTCTTGTTGAAGGCCGTATAGATCAGAGGGTTGAAGAAAGAATTGGAATAGCCGAGCCAAAGGAAAATGCTTTTCCAGAGCGGGGGTATGTCACAGGAACAGAGGGGGTTGATGAGTTCTGTGATAAAAAAGGGGATCCAGCACAGCACAAACACCCCGATGAGGATGCCCACCATAAGGGCAGCTCTCTTCTCTTTCTGCTCCCTCCACGTGTCTCCGTCCGTCTGGAAGGTGACCGTGGCATGCCGGGCGGTGAACACCATCTGCGGCTGCTGGGAGGCTTCCTTCACCTGCCAAAGACAAACATAATCTTCAGACGCATGTGTGTGTGTGTGTGTGTTTGTTTTGCTGGCCGGCCTGCCACCTGCCAGTTGCCAAACATGAAATCCTGTGTGCTGCATGCTAATTTGCAAGATGATGCCCAGCAGAGGTTTGCCTGGAGTTTTGCGGTGGGGTGAGACTTCCAAGCATGTGCGCGCACACAGGTGAACACCTCCTATGCATACCCTCAATTTGGGGGGGGAGCAATATCTAGTGGTCACAGCCTCAATTTGGCTTGCACTCCTGGAACAGCCACCTTTCCACCCCCTCTTACCTAGAAAGACACCACACCTTACCTTACAGAAGGTGGTGGAGGAGGTGGGGAGCCCCCCCTACAGATACCCAGAGCACCATCTTTTCCTGCTGGGGGACCCCTTTTGCCTTGGGAGAAGAGGGAGAGCTGAACACTCAAAAGACCTCAAGTACTTTCATGGACTGCAAGAAGATCAAACGTATCCATTCTTAAGGAAATCAGCCCTGAGTGCTCACTGGAAGGACAGATTGTGAAGCTGAGGCTCCAATACTTTGGCCACCTCATGAGAAGAGAAGACTCCCTGCAAAAGACCCTGATGTTGGGAAAGATGGAGGGCGCAAGGAGAAGGGGACGACAGAGGACAAGGTGGTTGGACAGTGTTCTCAAAGCTACCAGCATGAGTTTGGTCAAACTGCGGGAGGCAGTGGAAGACAGGAGTGCCTGGCGTGCTCTGGTCCATGGGGTCACAAAGAGTCGGACACGACTAAACGACTAAACAACAACAACAACTTTCAGGGCAAAGGGTGGGTAGAGCACCAGCTATCCAGAGCAATTGTCCACCTTTGACTCCCTCTAGTTCACACCACAACACAAAAGCTAACCAGCGGAGAGTTATGCAACACCCCAGTGGAATGGGGCGCCTTTCCCCCCCCATCAATCACTGTCACTGCCAGGAAAGGCCAGGGGCTGCAGGCAGCTGCCCAAATGAGAAGTCCACACTCCCTGATGACAAGATCACCTGGTCCACAGGGAGATGTTTGCTACCAAGTCAGCTCATCTAACTTAGTATTGGTGACACTGACTGGCAGAAGCTATCTGAGGGTCAGATGGCGGTCTTAGCCCTACCTGGAGATGCCAGAGATTAAACCTCATACCCTATGTATGCAAAAGACGGGCTCTACAACTAAGATACAGATTCCCTGCCCTGGATGACTGGTGCCTTACAAAAAGAAATTTTTACCCTGCCCCTCTCATTTGATGGACTGTACATGAATCATGGATCATGGAGCACTGCCTGGTCATGGCAAAGGGGCTTGAATAACTCAGAGAAGCTATGATCTATGCCATGCAGAGCCACCCAAGACAGACAGGTCATGGCCGAGAGTTTAGACTAAATGTGATCCACCTGGAGAAGGAACCAGCAATCCACTCCAGTATCCCTGCCAAGAAAGCTCCATGGACAATAACAACAGGCATATAAAAGTCGAGTGCCTGGCATGCTCTGGTCCATGGGGTCACAAAGAGTCAGACACGACTAATCGACTAAACAACAACACTAAATTTACATCTCTAGCAGATTGTATTTTTTCCCACCTATAAGATTTCCAACGTTTTATTTTTGCCCCCCAATGTATTTTTCGTATTGATACGTTATGCTGTGACTGCAGCAACCTCACGCTTTTCTATAACGTTATGCACTCCTATGCATTAGATAAACAAGCAGCATCTATGGAGAGAGGCAGATCCCTTATACTGAGATTATCTCTGGTGTGACTGCAGTTGGAATACTGTGGGTCGTTCTGGTCGCCTCACCTCAAAAAGGATATGACAGAGTTGGAAAAGGTTTAGAAAGGAGCAACTGAAATGATCAAAGGATGGAGCAGCTCCCCCTACAAAGAAAGGCTGCCACATTTGGGAGTTTTCAGTTTAGGAAAGGCAAGAGTAGGAGGTGGTGTGTTTATGGAAGTTTATAAAATTATGAATGGGATGGAGAAAGTGGATAGGGAAAGTTTTTCTCCCTCCCTCATAACACTAGGATGTCCAATTAAGCTGAATGTCAGAAGAATCGGGACAGATAAAAGGAAGTATCCATTCATGCAACACATAATTAAAACTAGGGAACTTGCTCCCACAGGAAGCCGCAACGGCCATCAACTTGAATGGCTTTCAAAGAGAATTAGACAAATTCATGGAGCGTAAAGCTATCCCTAAGGGACGTGGGTGGCGCCGTGGGTTAAACCACAGAGCCTAGGACTTGCCGATCAGAAGGTAGGTGGTTCGAATCCCCACAACGGGGTGCGCTCCTGTTGCTCGGTCCCTGCTCCTGCCAACCTAGCAGTTTGAAAGCACCAGGTGCAAGTAGATAAATAGATACTGCTCTGGCGGTAAGGTAAACGGTGTTTCCGTGCACTGCTCTGGTTTGCCAGAAGTGGCTTAGTCATGCTGGCCACATGACCCGAAAGCTGTATGCCGGCTCCCTTGGCCAGTAAAGTGAGATGAGTGCCGCAACCCCAGAGTCGGTCACGACTGGACCTAATGGTCAGGGGTCCCTTTACCTTTAAAGTTATCTATGGCTACTAGCCATGCTGGCTAAGCTCTTGTGCTCAGGTCCTGATGAAGGTTTCCCATGGACATCTGGCCAGCCACTGGGAGAAGAGGATGCAGAACTAGATGGGCCATTGCTAAATCCAGTAGATTCTTCTTATGTACCTCAGCATCCACTGATTCCGCAAAGCCTTCCCCTCACCCCAATTTGTAGCTTCACCTGTTTTGTGCTTTCCGTCTCTCCGGCCCCTCCGCTCCTCCAAGCCTGCCTGAGTTTTCATTTTGTTTTATCCTCTGGGCAGGGAGAATGTCAAGCCTTTGTGGTGTACGATGCCTAGCACAATAAAGATGCTAATTAAATGTTAAATAGGAGCTGCAGTATAATGTGCTGCTGGCCAGCCGGGGCTGAAGTTGCGAGATTAAAAAGCAGGAGGTGCCAGGTCCCAAAGGGTGGGTCACAGCTGCCTTGGTGTGGGTCGCTCCCCAAGTGTCGTGTATTGTCAAGCTGCCAAATGTTGCTGTTGGCTGCAAGATGGTACTCAGGCATGGAAGGCTAAGGGGCCAGGGCTGCGGAGGATCAACAAATGGATTCTTAATAAAGACAAGATTCAATTGGGATGTTTTGCAGATGAACCAATTGTTAACTGGTGACTTATGGAGTTTATGCAGAGACACTGAAAGGAACCCTACATAAATAGGCTGGGTTTTAAATTTTTGCACTAAAATGAAAGTGTTAGCTTCTGTATAGCTCAGTTAACTGCCAAGGCTCATGGGAATGAAATATTTACATACAATATTTAGATATTGCCTTTCATTTTGGCCACATTCACACCATAGGTTTATAGCACTATGATGCCATTTTTACCAGTCATGGTTTCCTCCCCCCCCCAAAAAAAATCTGGGAACTGTAGTTTGTTAAGGGTGCTATTCCCATCTCAGAGCTACTGTTCTCTCAGTGGTTTAACAATCAATCCCTCTTCATAGGGAATTATAGCTCTAGGAGTGAAATAAATTCCTTGAGCTGAAGGAATTGGTGGCAAAATTTGCAAAGGAGAAGGCATGCAAAGTGAGATGTTGATGTGCCTGGAATTGAAACTTTAAAGAGATGTAAATTTTGACATCACAATTCACAAGATTATTCAAAATGATTCAGGTGCTGAAACATATTTTTTTTTAAAAAAAATTGCATTTGAGAAAGGCAACCAAAGATGGTTGTGTTACTTATTCTTGCAATTTAAAGTAGATGTGGCAGTTTGGGGTTTTGTGCTGATCACTTTTTCTGCAAGACATCTGCTTTTGAAAATTGAAGTTAGCAGTTGGCAGGCGGGTGAGCAAGCAGTTAGCCTTGCCAAGGGCTCAAAGTAGCCTGGCACCATGCAAAGGTCCCTGGTTCAATTCCTCCCATCTCCAGGTAGCACAGATGCCAACTTGAATAAAATATTGTGGGGGCCCAGGTAAGCCCCACTCTGCATAACCGGTCACATGACTCAGTGCACACACACCATTTGAATGGGAATGCCCATAACCTTTGTGGGGGCCCAGCCCCCTCAAATATTTTATTGTGGGGACCAAAGCCCGCAAAGCACCTAGGAGTTGGCTCTTGTGCCAGGTAGTGTTAAGAAAGACTCAGTGTAGGCAGCATAGAGCTAGATAGACCAGTGATCTGACTTTGAATCCATTTCATTTGTCTTTAAAATGTTCCTCCATTACCACATCTCTGTATCAATAAAAGCTTCTGTTGATACCTGCTTGCCTCTCTGACAACTGTTAAAGGCACACTATGGTAAAGGTAAAGGGACCCCTGACCATTAGGTCCAGTCATGGCCGACTCTGGGGTTGCGGCGCTCATCTCGCTTTATTGGCTGAGGGAGCCGGCGTACAGCTTCCGGGTCATGTGGCCAGCATTACTAAGCCACTTCTGGAGAACCAGAGCAGTGCATGGAAATGCCGTTTACCTTCCCGCCGGAGCGGTACCTATTTATCTACTTGCACTTTGACGTGCTTTTGAACTGCTAGGTTGGCAGGAGCTGGGACCGAGCAACGGGAGCTCACCCTGTCACAGGGATTCAAACCGCTGACCTTCTGATCAGCAAGTCCTAGGCTCTGTGGTTTAACCCACAGCGCCACCCACGTCCCTAAAGGCACACTATCCTTTCTGTAAAATGGTATCAGTTCTAGGATTAGTCTTTTTAGCAGCTATTCCCTACCCTTGCTATTTTCTTTTTCTTTTTAAGGCTGCTTATGTTTCTAGTCCATATGACACCCTAAAACAAACAAACAAGATTTTTAGTGAATGCTGTGTCCTAAATAAATGGAACCAATGACTTCTGAGGATACTGACGCTTATTTTCTGCCTTACAATTTCAAATTATTTTGTGTGGATAGTCTTATGATCCCAGACCTGTGTAAAAAGAAAAGCATTTTGTGAGCTCTCCCTTGAGTGCTTTTAGGTAATGCATCCACAAGCAAATACAAAGGGCCTGAATTGTGTAGGTTCTCCTATGTGTTAAATGTATCTCAGTTTTCATCCTGTTTGCTTAATTAAGGGATTAATATGATATACGCATAGCAAACTCATTCTTCATGCATGGAACCTTATGAAACCAAAACTGCACACCCACACACAAGAAGGGAGGTATAAACAGGCTTAAAGAAACGGCAATGTTTGCAGAACTACAAGAAAGGTACCATATTTTGCGTGGCTGGGGGAGAACTATGCAGGAGAGGGCAAAAAGCAGCTCATTGAGAACTGAGCAAGATCAGTGGATAAGGAATGCTGGATGGATAGTAGGTAGCAGATTGGAGAATGGAATGGAATGGAATAACAGGGCATGGCTTGTTGGCTGGCTAGAATCCTGAACAAAGCAGCACTGGTCCAGCCCCAAAGAGAAAAAGAACGAAAGCCCTGACTGATGTCAAGAACACTGTTAAGATTAAACTTAAATATCTTTAGTGGGAGATAGCCCACTAAAGCCAATATGTGTCTTTTAATACTTGACACTTTCAAGTTTTCCAAGTGCTTCACGGATATTATCTTTGCAACAACCCTGTAAAGAAAACCAGGATTAATGCCTTCTTATTTCAGAATGAGCGAGAGGGGGGGAGGTGAAGAGAAGTAAGGCAGAGGGAACAATGACTACCTAAGGATGGCTAGGGAGTTCCTGGCTGAGATGAAATATGAGCCAAGGGATTGTGAGCTCAGACACTCAGGCAGCAGACAGCAACAGCCATTGCATAAGATAAATAAATTCAGCAACTCCCCGTTAGCCACTGTGCTCAGGGCTCAAAGTGGTTGTTAGCCAAGGGCAGCCACAGACATTTGGGTGCCCAGCACAGAGCAGCAAACGGTGCCCCTCCCTGAGTCAAGGTGTACAGTACACAAGGCCACCAGAAAAGTCCACAAGCGCCTCTCCCCAGTACTAAAAACACAACAACAGTAATAAATTACTGACAGCCACTTCACCCTGCCTAACAGAAGGTCTGCTGTGTGAATGTGCTGCCCAATTCTAGAGCAGACAGCAGCACCTGATGAAAAACTAACCTCCAGGGCTTCAGGTGTTATAGGAGTGATGGAGTTGCTCTTCCGGGATCCAATGCGAAACTTGGCTGCCTTGTAGATTTTCCAGTAGACAAAGAGCACCACGCAGAGGGGCAGGTAAAAAGCCCCAAAGGTAGAGAAGATGGTGTAAGAAGGCTCCTGGCTGACTTGGCATTCTTCGTTGCCCTCCGAATAAGTCTCCCCCCAGCCAAAGATCACCGGAGCCAGAGAGATGATGGCCGACAGGATCCACGTCAGAGCAATCATAATGTTGGAGATGCGCCGGCGGGTCCTCAGGGTGTACTCTAGGTGGCGAGTGATTGACCAGTAGCGGTCCAGAGCGATGGCCGTGACATTCCAGATGCTGGCCGTGCAGCACAGCACATCGCAGGAGATCCACACCTGGCACAGGATCCGCCCCAGCCTCCAGCGCCGCCCGGACAGTTCGTGGACCAGGCTGAGAGGCATCACCAAGGCGGCCACCATCACATCCGAGATGGCCATGGACGCCACCAGGTTGTGAGGAACCCTGTGGAAAGTGCGGACACGCAATATGGTTGCCAGAACCAGCACGTTCCAGAGGAAAGTGGCAATCACCAACATGGCCAACAGAGTCAAGACGAGGACGCTAAAGATAGACAAGGATCCACGGGCACCAGGGTGGTCCAGGAGGGAGCTGGAGCCCGTCCGGTTGGATTCTGCTGAAGTAGTGACTGAGAAGCAGGTGAAGTTGGGGCACCAATCCATTGTGCAAGGATGAGCAGTAGAAAGTTTCAGAAGGCAAGGTGGAGTGAAATGTTTCTCCTGGTTGTAAAAGGTGGTCTCCTCGTTATCCCCCAGGTTATATAGTTAAGGAAAAACCATTGTTCATTGGTTGCCAGGTTTTTTATTCAATCCACAGTTTATCAGTTAGGCTGTTGTGACTTATCCTGGCTTGTCACCTGAACTGGGATCTGTTTATGAAATCTTCATTGCCAGGAAATGCAGGATTTCCATTTTGGCTGCTGTCTTGCATTCCTTATTGTCAATTTTTAAGTGGTATTTGTTATAGCTTTAATACTGCCTGGTTTGCAAACCTCCCAGAGAATATCGACTGGTGGGTGGTGATATGCTTTTAATAAGTAATGATAATAGCAATAGTATTTCAGGCTCCAGAGCTCGGTCACACTCCTGGTTTGTGAAGCATCGATCCAGCAGGTGAAGGCCCGGGATACACACTAAGGAAATATTTGTGAGAGATTCCAAATTCTGTGTCGGAGTTTGCCGCATCTGTAAATTGACCAAAGAGAACCTGCATTAAGAACGATACACATTCCACTGGAGAATGCCAAGTCTTCTGCTTTTCTGAAGCATTTTTGCAGCGTTAGAAAGTTAACACATTGGTTGCAGGAAGTTTAGGGCAAAAGAGAAAGCAAGAGATAATGCCATTGCAGTGGAGGAAGGAGAAGAAAAAACCCTTACAAATACCAACAGTTCTGACTTTGTAGCCTCCCCTTCACTTCTGTCTCCTTCTTTGAGAAATCTTAGATTTAATGTCATCTATTCTTGGTCAGGTCCATGCTTTACAGAAACAGATGTATTATACAATACGGGGGGGGGGGAATCCTGATGTGCCTTTGCCACATTTGCCACGGAGAAATCAAAGCCTCCAAAAACAGAATTAAGGACCCAGTCTCCCCTCCGGGGTAGATGGCAGGGCTCTCCACACGAGCCTGAGCTCTATCGATTTTAATTCAGGTGCTAAACACAGACACCGCCACCTTTGACATCTTTCTGAGAATGCAATAAAAAAAACCCAACTTGGAAACTTCTAAAGATCAGAGCCAATGATAGCTGCGGCCATGACAATTTAGACCAGGCTGACTATACTGTCTTTCTTTCCAGTGGGCATTTGTAATGCAATTGAGCATTCTGGCCAGTGCAAACATTGCCTGTATATTGCATTACAAAGCAATCAAGACAAGCTCTGTTGGGTGTGAAAATGCACTCTTAGGGATCCCTTTTTGCCTCTTCCGCAAAAGCAGCTGAAAGAGGATGTTGGCCCCTGCTTTCGCCAAAGCACTCCACAGGGGAAGCTCAGCATTTGGAACATCTGCAACAGGATATCACCTTGTCTGCCCTGGCTGGGGCTTGACAGGAGATGTCGTTTGAAACACCTGCAGGCACCAGGTTAGTGAAGACCAGGACTTTTTCCCCAGCTGGAACTCAATTCTGACACCTCTCAGGTGGGCGCCATTGCCATTCTAAGAGACCAAGGGAGGTGTTCATGGTGCGTTCCGGCTCCTCTTTTTCTAGAAAAATAGCACTCCTTAAGACTACCCTACATAATGCCTGTGGGATCCTGGTGTGTTTGTGTGTGATCAGACAACCGCGCCACGGGACAGAGATATGGACTCACACAAGGGTGGTTGCACAAGCACACACAAAGAACAGACCAAAAAGCAAACGGCAAGTACGGACCCTGCAAAGAACTCTGCAAACACGAGGCTTCCCCCAACCCCAAGTGTGTCCCAGCCCCACCAGCACCTGAGAGACTCACCGTGGATTGAGAGTCCCTCGCTCTCATCGAAGTGGGTACCTTCCATCGGATGAAGGTATCTTGCCACTGCCACAATAAATCCGCTAAAGCTGAACGCTGTTGTGCGCCCTTGCTCTGCTCCACGGGGCTGCAGCCTTGCCGTGCAGTCCTAAGCACGTTTCCTCGGAAGGAAGCCCCCTCGAGGGTGTTTAGGATGCCGCTGTTCACTCAGCAAGCCCCGAGGAATTCGATGGCACTTGCTGCCAGACAACAGCCCGAAGTCGGAGAGGCGCAACGAGACTTTTTTTTAAGGCAGCGTTTCCAGAAAGGTAGACCCCGCTGGATTCAACGGGGCTCGCTTCCAGGAAGGAAGACAGGATCGTGCGAGCCTGAAAGCCACGTTGAATTCGGTGGGACCTCCCTACCGTGTGTTTTTGTGTCCACACACAGGCTAGCGCTGCAACGCGGGTCTCTCTCTGCGCCCTTCCCCCCTCGCAACGCTTTATTTGGGAAACCGCGCCCGATCCACGCGATGGCAATACCTGCGGGGCGTCTGCTCTGCGGCTCCAGCGGCTGCGCTGCAGCAGCAAAGGGAAGCCGCCCTCCTCCTCCTCCTCTGAGTCCGCTGTCTTGCTCCTACGCCGAGGCGCGCCCATCAGCTGACAGCGCCCGCTCGGCTCCCCAAGGGCTTCGCGCGGTCAGGAGGGCGCCTGGTCCCCGGAGGGGCTCCCTTCATCCGCGCGTCGCGCGCCTTCCCGCCTGCCTCCTCTCCGACCTTCCTGTTCCAGGCAGAGAGAAAAGTCTCCCCAGCCCCGCCGAAGCTCTGCGAGCGCCGTCCCTCTCCACTCCCACGGCGTTGGTTTTTCCGGGGCGGGGGAGCCTCGCAGGCGCTCGCCAGGATGCGCCGCAACACTTTGGCCCTGGGAGCCGCCTGCTTTGCGCCAAGTAATAGCAATCTTCAGGTATCCAAAGGGCTATCATAGAGAAGATAAGCAAGCTTGTTTTCTCCTCTTCCGGAGAAACAATGGCTTCAAGTTGCGGGAAAGAAGATTCCTGCTAGACATACGGAAAAACTTTCTGACAGTAAGAACAGCAGCGTTGCTCAACCTGTGGGTCCCCAGATGTTGTTGGACTACAACTCCCACCATCCCTGAGCTCTGGCCATGCTAGCTAGGGGTGATGGGAATTGTAGTTCAACAACATCTGGGGACCCACAGGTTGAGAAAGGCTGAACAGTGGAGCGGACTTCCTCGGGAGGTGGTGGACTGCCTCTTGGAGGTTTCTTAGCAGACTTGGATGGTCATCAGTCATGGGTGGCTTAGTTGAGATTCCTGCATTGCAGGGGTGGACTAGATGGCTCTTGGGTACTTTTCAACTCTACCATTCTATGATTCTAAGTCAGACTGCTCAGTATTGTCTGTGCAGAGGCATCTCCAAGGTTTCAGGTGAGAGGCTTTCTAAGCCCTACCTGGAAATGTGCAGGGGTGGGGAATTTGAACCTGGGACCTTCTGCCTGCAATCCAGGTGCTCTGCCTCTCAGCTATAGCCCTTCTCCAAGGGCTTACAGGCTTCCCTCCCTCTTTTTGCACACATTAAAACATATACAGTGGTACCTCAGTTACAGACGCTTCAGGTCTCGTTACAGACGCTTCAGGTTACAGACTCCGCTAACCCAGAAATAGTGCTTCAGGTTAAGAACTTTGCTTCAGGATGAGAAGAGAAATCGTGCTCTGGCAAGCCAAGGCCCGGCTAGCGCACAGGAGGCCCCATTAGCTTAAAAGTGTGCTGTACGTTAAGAAACACGGTTCATGCTAAAGTTATGGACCGTCCTGGAAATGAATAAGTATTTAAATCCCAGTTACCAACTTACTCGTTTGCCAAACTCCACAAACATTCTGAGAGACATCACCAAGAATGAGCAAGCAGAAATTGATGGGAATGATGAACTCAAGGGAAAGGCCTGAGAAAAATTATGGGTGTTTGCCTGGTGCTGGAAAGAGAATGGTGTCTGGGAGAGATCTGCCACCTCCAAGAAGGGCTTCCACAAATGGGTTGCCATATCAGAAACTGCCCTCTCCCCAGTCATCACCAATTTCACTTCCACTGTTGATGGGCAGCCAGAGAAGACACAGGAAGCTGCATTGTTCTGAGGTTTTTTGGGGTTAGGCTGAATGCCCAGGCCCTTTTATAATTCTTGGAAAAGTCAGACTAGCTTCCTGGTGATGTGATAGCCTGGGTGATGGGCCATTCAGAGGAAGAAGGGAAGGGGCTCTGTGAAAGACGACAAATGGGTGGGGGCCCCTCCTTCAGCTCCAAGGTCCTTGGAAGGACAAAGGCAGAGTTAAGAGCAGAAAGAGCTGAGTGGTGTGAACTAGAAGCTAGAGGAGAAAAGGCTGCAGGCTGGGAAGTCAGAGAGTAGAGCCATGCCTCAGTTCTGTTTGAATCCAAGGCTGCAGCTATTGGGGAAACAAAGCCCTCTGGGGGTTTGTATACACATCAGGTTGTATAAACATAAACCACATGTCCTAAAGACACCGTCATCTCTGCTGTCCCTCATTCCAAGGAAACACAAACCCCGTCTATGTCAGTACTGTCAATACCAACTGGTGATGGTCCCCCAGTTTCAGGGAGACATTCCCAGCCCTGCCTGGAAGCAAATATGGGAGCTTCTGCATAAAAGGTGCTGAGCTACTCTCCATCCCCAAGATGATTGACATGCCATGTCCTCCTGGGTACAAGAAAGCCAGGATTAGCTGTAAAGAAAAGCACCAGCACTTTGAACTGGGCTCACTGGCTGAATGGCTAAGGAACTGCTCTGTGGTGTTTGCAGTGCGGGATCAAAGGCAATAGTAAAAAGGTAAATGGACCACTAACCATTAAGTCCAGTCTCAGACAACTCTGGGGTTGCGGCACTCATCTCGTTTTACTGGCCGAGGGAGCAGACATTTGTGTGCAGACAGCTTCTACGTCATGTGGCCAGCATGACTAAGCTGCTTCTGGCAAACCAGAGCAGCGCACAGAAACGCTGTTTACCTTCCCGCCGGAGCGATACCTATTTATCTACTTGCACTTTGATGTGCTTTCGAACTGCTAGGTTGGCAGGAGCAGGGACCGAGCAACGGGAGCTCACCCCGTTGCGGGGATTCGAACCGCTGACCTTCTGATCGGCAAGCCCTAGACTCTGTGGTTTAGACCACAGCGCCACCCACGTCCCTCAAAAGGAATAGTAGTAGGAGAAATATTAACAATATACAGGCTGCTTAACACCCAGATGGCTTCTAAGCTGTTTAGAAAACATAGAAACCAATTAATTGCACAACATGATCATCAGCACTGGCCATCAGTTCCCCATCTGACTTTCTGGGTCAAGGCTCAGAACTGACTGTGGAAAATGGTGAGACCATTGCCCCTGAGATGGTTGCACAAGAACTCCCAGAGGAACCTCCCAGACCACCAAAGCCTGGATTCTCACAGATCTGGAAGACCCAGATGCCTCCCATCACACATCATCAATCCAGGAATACATCAGGAGGCTATGGAATGAAGCTGGAGTGTCCATTTTTGGGCCAGAAGGTTGCCTTTCAAGGCTCTGTAGTTCTCTCAAGGTGATGGAGCTTGAAAAAGGTAGTCTGGAGACAGAGGCATAGAATGCCTCAGTCTGCCCCCAACTTCTGTTGGAGCAAATTGGTCACTTGGAGCTGCCAGAATATGACACCTGCAAGCCTGTCCTCCAGTTGCTGATGCTGGATTGCAGTGTCTGTATTGGCGAGTTCCTTGTTGTTCTCACACCACTGGCAGGAGCACAATGAATCAAGCAAAGTAAACCTGACAGATGCAGATTGTTTAATTTGCATAATTTATACAGGCTAGAAAAGTTCGCTCTGTAGTTTGATTTTCTAGCACATACATGACAATGGTCTTACCTTTTGAGAAAATAAATGATACGCTGTTCAGAACCTAGCTATTTTCTAAAATGCTGACTATAAGGTTTTGAAGCACAGCAATTCATATCAGGCTATGTGATGTTGTAAATGTTTTGCCCTGTGCAAGATTAATATTTGGGTTTAGGGGAGGGAAATGATGATGGGGATGGGGATTGTTTTTATCAGTGCTTTGTGATTTGTTGAGTTTAGATTGCTTCAATGGTTCTGTAACATATTATAAACACATTTGTAAAAACAAACAATCCTTGAATCAAGAAGGCTGAAAAATGCAGTGAGAAATTATTGTCTGCTAGGATTTGGTATCTAAAAAGTCATACACAATTTTTATTTTTTTTTATTTTTGGTAAAGCGATGCTGTCAGAACCAACTGTGGAATCTGCCAAGGAGACAGATGGCCTTAATGACAGAAAACTGATGGCACTCTAAAACTCAATTACCATTGATTTGGGGGAGCCTTTCTTCTTAATGCCAAGATGTGGGACTGATTTGTTTATTGCCAGGTTTTTGGCACCTTGGAGGACAACTGGCAACAGAGCCAGTAAACAATTGACATCATGGAAAATGATTAACTTGAGATGATCAAAGGGAGAGGCAGCTATACAGGTGCTTTGATGGCCTCATTATCAGTCGTCCTTACAATGCTTTGAACTCAGCACTTTCATGGGCCTAGTTTGACATCTATCTTATGCCATCAGAAGCTTTTCTTTTCCTCCACTTTTCTTCATAGTGAGAATTGTGTGCTTAGACTTTAGAAATAATTTTGTAGAACTATTTCTCCAGTTGCTTCATGTGTATTAAAATCATTACATTTCCATCCCATCCCATCCACCCCCAGCCTTCCAGGAACTCACAAGGAATTTCATGGCAACCTTGTGCCATAGGTTAGGCCGAGAGAGTCCAAAGGAGAGATGACTGAAAAGCTTATTCAATACCATATGCATTGTGTATGTATCTTTTACATTGAAATGTGTATTTTTATGTGCACAAAACATGCATGGTAACATCTAGAGAAGTACATGATTTGGAGTTGCATTCCAATCTGCAAGCAAGTCAGCAAGCATAGGATTGGGTGTGTTGGTCCATTGCAAAAACAAACAAACAAACAAACAAACAAACAAAAAACAGACCAGGGCTGGTCCATAGGGAATCTGAAGGTTTATAAGGTAGCACAATTGCTCTCCATCTTTGGAATGGATGTGATGACATAAAAGATGCTGGAAATATTGTTGTTTAGTCGTTTAGTCCGACTCTTCGTGACCCCCTGGACCAGAGCACGCCAGGCCCTCCTGTCTTCCACTGCCTCCCGCAGTTTGGTCAGGCTCATGTTTGTAAGTTTGTAGCTGGAAATATTACAGGCAAGTAATTTCATGTTTTCTTTGGAGGGTGGGGGTGGTAAAAGTTATCAAAATACGTTGTCAGGTTATGAAATGTCTTATTAAACTTGATCCTGTGTTCTTCTTATAGGAATTGCTTTCACTGACTGGGAGGTAAACCCCATTTATTTCTGTAGTACAGTACTGGTTTTGTTTCGTATATTATGTTTTGTGATTTTTGTTTGTTTAACAAAGGGCTGAATCCAGACTAGGTTTGTCATACTTCAGTCCCATTGAGTCTGCAATCCTATACACAACGTCCCTGTACGCAAAGTCTCACTCCTTTTCTGCAGGCATGTGTAGGATTGCAGTGTGAAGCATGACTAACTTAGTCGGGATGCAACCCACAGAATAGAGCATGCCACAAAGAGCAAGTCAAACTTGCTCAGTGATTGACAGAGGTTTCCAGAGAGCAAATTGACATTATGCATACTGGTAGCATTGTACATATGTATACACTCTGACGCTAGGAACATAATTGTGGCTATGGGAGATCTAGTGCTTATATAACAAAGAGCCTTGTGGCACCTTCAAGAAGAACAGATTCGTTGTAGAGCATTTTTTTAAATGGCTGTGGGGGAAAATGGCATTGTCTTTGCAGAAGAAAAAAGCAGAACTATTAGCAGCTTAAAATGCGGGGATGTCGTTTTCCTCCTGCTGTGTTTCAAATGGCATTTGCACTTGCTGCACACACAGAGGGGATGGGTCTGTCTTCCCCCAATGTGCATTATCTGATTTATTTCC